TTTTGAACCCATGTTTTTGTAACCAGGAATTAATGGAATTTGATTGCTCCACAAAACGAAGTTAGTTGTATTCTTCTCAGTGTATTAGATAAAACGCGTTGTAAATATGATGTATCAACATTATTGGGACACATCAAGACTTTGTCAGATGTTGTTAAAAATAGTATATTTTGGCCCAATGAATTTGATGTAAAAGAGATTTTTCAACCAATACCGCAAATGTCTGGACAACTCCAAATTGGTCCATTTGTCGCAATAAATATGGAACAATTTGAGCTTGAAGAAGTGGATTAAGAAATACTTGAAAACTACAGTGAAGATGTTGATTAATTTAAATAAAAGTACACAGTTAGGTTGATTTCTAATCATTCACTACAAATTAAGTTTTCAGTTCAAACACTTCGAATACACAAAAATTAATAATATTATCTTGTTTTGACTGCTATTTATGATTTTTGGCACTCATTTTTTTGGAAAACAAATAAATTGGCCTTTAAAACCGGTCATTATCCACTTTATAAGTTTCATTATTTTAAAAAATTCTTTTAATTCTATTTTTGTTGTTGGCACCCATTAAGTTTTTGGCACCCATTTAATACTCTATCTGTAAGTAAGTCTATACTACCACTGTATTGAGTTTTTTTTTGGTTTTATTTAAAAATATCAAAATCTATAGATAATATAAACTGTTTTTTAAAACTCTGTACTGGGATGCCCCCGATTTTTTAGACAAATAATTTTTAAATAATTTTTCCTTTGCTTAACCCTCGTTTTTTGTTCTAAACATTTACTCAAAAAAACAAGATAACGAACTTGAATTTTTTAAATTTTACTTGACAAATAAATCTTGCACAAAAAAATTACAGGTTTAGGAAAATCTCCCCTTTTACAAACTGCCTTTTCAATAATTCGCCTTATTTCGCCTTTATTTTTCAACAAAATTTCAAGTCATTTGAATTTTTGTTGAATAATAATTAAATTAAAATTGATTTTTTTAAATTATTTAATTTTATTAATTTCATTCCATTGTGATTTAAAATTATATACAATAATTTTATAATTGTGTATGTTCAGATAGTCGATGTATTATTAATTAATATTATAATTTATATATTTTTAAGTTTATCAATTCATTATTATTAATTATATAATATCACTATTGTAATTATAATTATAATAATAATTGTACATCAATTAAATTAATATTAAATTGATTATTCTTCCATTTTAGTATTTTTGGTCCTTTTCGACTTAATAGAATTTTTTTGCATCACCTTTTTCAATGCTTTAGCTTTTTTTTAAAATCTGTTTTTTTTTCTTCGCTGTTCTTTTTTATTTACTTTGTTTTTTGGTTTTTTACTGTTTATTTTTTTGTTCTTTTTTATGTGTTCTTCAATTTCTTTTCCTGTGTTATAATTCAAAGTGACTTCATTATCTATTTGTAGCTCTTCTATAACCATTTCATCGTTATCTTCATCACTTTCATTGTCTTCAAACAAGCTATTTTCTTTTTCGAATACAATTGCCATTTTTTCACGTTTTCTGACATTTCTTCTTCGGCGATTGTAAGTTGTTTCATTTTATCAATAATTTCGTTTTCATTTTCAATTTCAACTTTTGCAGTATCAACATCCAAATTGAAATAAATTTGATATTTCTTTTTAGTGAGAAGTTTGGTGCACTTTTTGAGAAATACGATTGGTTCAATTCTATGAGCACCAAATAACTGTTCCTGAAGTTCTTTCAGTGTTATATTTTTTTCGACCGTACCAATCTTTTTTTCGAGTTGTGTTAAGTGACTCTTCAAATAGTTTAAATTTCAAATCTATAATATTCTGGAAAGACAGCAATTTTTCAACAAAAGTGTGAATAAAAGGATGAGAAATACATATAAATCGATTCAACGCCGAATGAAAACTATCCGCTCGGTTATTTGTTCTTTCGGGAAGACCAAATACCACCAGTGCTCAATTTTAAAAACGCCATTTATATAAGTGTTTTCAAAATACTCAAAAAACATTTTAACATCTTCGTCTTGACACAGTTCTTCTTTTATCATATAAAACGTGTCTATGATCATTGTATTTGGAAAATAAGTCAATGATATTAACATTTTTATTAGAGTTTTAACGAATCACTTTCAACAAATCTTTCACCAAATACCATAGTTAAAACTCTCCTATAAAGAGATTGGCAAAAATGAAAATAACAACATTTAACATTAACCTCATTTCCAAATAGATTTTTGAAATACACAACTTTAAAGTCTCCCATTACAACAACATTTTTATGAAACACTTTTTCTTTACAA